TGTGTGTGTGTGGTATGGTATGGTGTGTGGATGTGTGGTGTGGTGTATGTGTGTATTGTGTGTGTGGATGTGTGGTGTGGTGTATGTGTGTATTGTGTGTGTGTGTGGTGTGGTATGGTGTGTGGATGTGTGGTGTGGTGTATGTGTGTATTGTGTGTGTGTGTGGTATGGTATGGTGTGTGGATGTGTGGCGCATACGCTGTGCGGTGTGATGTGTGATCTGCATGCACATGCCTGTGTCCGCCATCCTGCTGTGCCTCTGACACACAGCCCTGTGGAGGCCAGAGTGGATGTCTGGCGTCCTCCTAATCTCTCTCCACTTAGGTTTTGAGCCAGGGCCTCTCTGGCCTGACCCAGAGCTCCCTGGTTCAGCGAGTCGGGCTGGCCAGCTTCCCTGGGGTCCTCTCCCTCCACCTCCCTCGTGGTTTACAGGGCAACCAGCACACGTGGCTGCATTCACACAAGTGCTGGGGGGTCTGAACCATCATCCTCATGCTCTCATAAAACACGCTCGGCCTACCCGGCTACTCCCCAGCCCCAGCCCCACAAGTCTTTTAATTAACTGAGACATGAATACTGATCTTCAAACTTTCAGACACAAAAGGCAATCTGAAGATGGCTCTAGCTAGCCTAATCCAGCCCACTTACCAAGCAAACCATCTTCTCACTGAGATTACAGATAAATCACTCAAGTTCTTTAATTAAAAACAAATGGAGGGCCAACAGGACGGTTCAGTGGATAAAGGTGTGTAACCACCCTAGTTCAATCCCTGGGCCCCTCGTGGTGGAGGGAGACGACCATGCCCATAAAGCATCTCTGACCTTTATTCATCCACTGTAGCATGTACACAGCCACTCACTTACACAGAAAGACAGGGGGAAGGGGAGGAGAGGAAGGGAAAGGGGAAAACATAGGTAGGAGAGGTGGCTTGGTTGCCAAAGTGCCTGCTGTGACAAACGTGATTCCCAGCATCCATGTGAAAAGCACACAGCCATAATTCCAGCTGAGTCTGATCCCCAATATCCCAGGCTCCAGATCCAGGGAGCGAAAAGAATAGGATAGAGAGTGGTAGAAGATGCCCACTATTTATTTCACACTTCCACACAGGCACGTGCATTAATGTGAATCCACACTCAGCCACACACAGCCACAGCACACACATACACAAAATTAAGTGAGTGAAGGCAAAAAAAAAAAAAAAAAAAAAAAAATCCTTGCAGTTTTCAGTCTGAGACAAACCATAAATCAAGGGATGCTGGAACTGATGTGGAGTACATGCTAGCTCCCCATGCCTTTGGGGACATCCCAAAGAGAGAATTTATAAAGGCCACCATGTTTACGAGGAATATAGAAATTACAAGGAATATAGAAAAAAGAGAAACAAATGACCCCTATAGGCCCTCTGCATTTTCGCTCAGAGTCAAAGTGAGTGGAGCCCAATATCTTATGCCTTATGTTTTAGAAGGATTCATTCTGGCAGGTGCTGCACATGCCAAGGAGGCTGCGGTGCTCTGTCTGAAGATGACACCACAGATGGCTTAAAGCCACGTGTCTACCAGGTAAAACTTTCACGTTGAGGACTCAGTGGATACAATGGACTCTGCAGTGTGTAAATTCAGAGGGTGTGGCCTCCTGAGACCTTTCACGTGGTCTGCTCTGGCACATTATGTATTTTGTTGCTGTTGTTGTTCTGTTCTGTATTTCTTCTTTTGGAGCTTTAGCTGTCTGTGAGTTGGATCTTAGTTGTGTATCTGTCGTTTCTACCGACTTCCCCACTTTTCTCAATTTCAGTACCTTGATTTTCTGCTCTTTGCCCCCACTATATGCCTTGTATTCTCACTCAAAGCTATTCTTCCTTGAGCAGGTTATGGTTAAAATTTCTGTCTATAGTCTGTTCTTCACTCTTTCAGCTGTTAGCTGTGTCATGTTTTATTTGTTTGTTGTTGTTGTCTGAGTTCATGCTTAGCTCTTACATTTCTTTCCTGTGATTGTCTTTGTGTCCTGAAATGCTCTTCTGGAGAACATCTGGTTGAGCTTATAGGGCTGTTTTATACCTTTCCCTTCAAATTAATATCAACTTGATATTAATTAATATCACATTAAATCTTGAACTTCTGGGTGCAAGTCTAACTCACATACCAGCCTGGAGGCAGAATCATCAGCTCACCAGACCTCTGCTCTGTCTGGCTCCTCACTTCCCTGCAGCCTTCTGGGACCACCTCATGGCAAACAGCTAGAAACAAACTTCCTGATTTGTCACATGGGCCACACTTGCAGTGAGGACCTATGGAGTATCCCTCAGTGATTCCTTGATCAGCGTGACTTCCTGAGCATGGCAGAGACGCTCAGAGCCTACCCCAGAGGTCAAGACAGACACATGCCTGACACTCTGGAACAGACACTACCCCCCACCCTCTTCCTGCTGTCCAAGTATACATTATCTACAATGTTCTGGCCTTCCCATTGTCCCTACAGGATGTTTCCACCTCTATGGTATTCGTAAATAGCAAACTTCCACTGCTTTGTAACCTTTGTGTGTTACTTCTGTCTGACCTGACCACACACCTGGGCCTACGTCCTCTGCTCAGGGCCTCTGAGAGAGTGACTATCCTCAGGGAATAAAGTGGACACAGATCAGACAAGGGCACAACAAATGTTGAAAAGTGTGTGAGGAACGCATGGCTGCCAGGGGGACACTCACACACAGGCCTAAACCTAAAGGAGTGTTCCCTACAAGGTACAGCGTGACCATCCACAGCCAACCCTCCATGTCCTTAGGGAGGCAGGACCTATGGTGGCCGTGCCGTGAGAGAACTTCAGACCACATGAGTGAGAGACAACAGCTTTCTCTCTCCAGACAACATGGATCAAACAGTTGAGGTTTCGCTTCTGAGAACGTTCTCTTGGGGGTTGAGTCAGAAGTTCTGTCGTCTTTAGACATTATTCCTTGCAAACAACATGCCCCGCCCAACTGTAACTTCACTCCGTACAAACACTCAGAGGGACCGCAGGATTTTCTAAGTTAACAGAACCAGAAGGCTCTTTCTGGTCCTTACACCCTCTGTCCATCAGTGAGTCCTCAAGGAGGGTCCTTCAGAAACCTCCAAGAGTCTTGCCATGAGGGCACTGCATTTGTTCCAGCACCACAGTGGTATGTGCAGTTACTTGAGGAAGAGTCTGAGTGAACAGGACAACGGTGGCACATACAGGTACATAGAGGTGCATTGCCACACATGACCATGCAGGAAAAAAGTGATACTACTCATCATCATCATTTTTTTTTTAAGACAGGGTTTCTCAGGGCACCCTTGGCTGTCTTGGACTCACTCTGTAGACCAGGCTGGCTTCCACCAAACTCAGACATCCACCTGCCTCCGCCTCCTAAGTGCTGGGACTAAAGGCGTGTGCCACCACTGCCGGCTCTCACAGTTCTGAGGCCGTGTTGAGTGTTGATGGAAACCTCACCAGGATCACAAGCTGGTACCCTACCTGTCGTTGTGCTCCAGCGCTTCGAGAGTAGCCTTCTCGAGCTTCTTCAGATGCTCCTTGGCTTGGTCAACGTCGGCGGTGTGGACTGGGCTCTTCTCCAATCCCTTCACTTCAGCCAGGAGCCGCTGCCGGGGGCAGAGCACACAGGGTTAAAGTGACCAGGGAGAGCGGTTGAGAGCTGGGCTGTTATTCAGGTATGGCCCAGGTGCCCTGGGGTAACGTGTGAATGCCAGTTAAATGTGTGCTTTGGGAGGCTGGAGGGAGGAGAAAAATAGTGGCCAAGTTCCAAGGAAAGTAATTTTCACAATTGTGTAAGGTTTTTATTTTCCTAAGAATTCTTTAGGATGGCATGGGTTGTTTGTTTGTTTGTTTGTTTGTTTGTTTTGTGGTTTACTTGTGGAGTTGCATTAAGGAAACTCACCCAATAAAGGGCTCATTATTAACTATTTCAAATAATCGATTTTTATATTAGTCGTGAGAGACAGTCTTAATCACCCATCTTTATACGGACATGAAGAAATGTGGGGCTCGTGCTTTGTTGAGACTGGTTCAGCCTGCTGACCTCTGCCTCATGAGGTGATGGTCTGTTCTCAGGAACAGGAAGATCCAGAGCTCTGGAAGCTCAGCACTTCCCTCCTATTGATAACGCTTGATTAAGACAGTGGTGCACACCTATAGTCCCAGCTACTCGGGGAGGCAGAGGCAGGCAGATCTCTGTGAGTTCGAGGCCAGCCTGGTCTACAAAGTGAGTCCAGGACAGCCAAGGCTACACAGAGAAACCCTGTCTCAAAACAAGCAAGCAAGCAAACAAACACACAAAGACATGGGCGTGGATTTTCCTTCCCTGCTCACAACACGAAACAGAGGAAGCCCGAGATGGCAGGCGCTGCCCACTCTTCAAAGGCAGCTCCTGGTTTTACTTACCTATTATTTATTCTATTTAATCTTTATGTGCATGGGTGTTTTGCCTGCATGTATGTCGGTGCATTCCTGGTGCCTGTGGAGGTCAGAAGAGGGCATCAGATCCCCTGGAACTGGAGTTAGATATTGTGAGTGCTGGGAACCCAGCCTGAGTCCTCTGCAAGAGCAGCTAGAGCCTTTAACCCCTGAGCTGTCTCTCCAGGGTTCTTATTGTGCGGCATGAAAAATCTCAGGACACAGAGTGCAAGGCCCGAATGTGGTTTTTGATTAAAACGTGATTTTGAACTGACTTAGTATGCTGTAGGAAATTACACTCTCTACTTCAGAAGATAGAGTTACTAATCTCAAGGTGTCAGCTTCTTGGAGCTATCTGCCACGACCGTGAGACAGTTCGACTACAAGAGTGCGTGCCGACCCACTGGCCCCCTGGCCCTGCAGAGACTGATGGGAACGCTGTCGTTTGTTCTGTGAGGAGACAGTGATCTGTGCTGAGGCTCCTGGTGCACCTGCTGTTGCGATCCAGCCACTCTGGGTAGCCACAGGGTGCTGCTTTCTGGCAATTACTGTCACGTGCGGTGAATGTGGCTAGGAAATGACCCAGTGCTGTGTTAATGTACGGGAAAGATCTCCACCCAGAGTACTTTACCCTCACATAAAATCACCCGTTTAAAAAAAAAAAAAAAAAAAAAAAAAAAAAAAAAAAAAAAAAAAAA